TCCCAGTCCTGCAGCCAAGGAGGAAACAGGGCTGACCTAAAGAGTGAGGGGGCCACCTAGACCCCCAGATTCAACTAACTGTCGCAGGGGACCCACTAGATTGAGAAGAGCTGCCAGAGTGGGGAAACATCCATCCCAGAGAGAGCAGAGCAGAGCTCCCTGGGTCCCTTAGGAGCACCCCCTCAGGGGCAACTCAGTGCTGGGTCTGCACCCTAGGTGGAGGCAGCTTCCAGGGGCCACAGAGACCCAGGAAGGTACCTGCCAAGGTGTCAGGCCTGCTCTGCCACCTCATGGGTGTGGGAGAGAGAGAGAGAGATAAGTGACAAATGCGATCCCCTCCTTCCCCCGCAAGGTGCTCAGCTCTTGGCTTCCCTTGCTGACCAGCCTTCAGGATTAGCTTTAGATCCCTGGAGCCCTAGTGCGAGGAAAGGCAGAGAGGATTTCTCCACCTTCTCACCTCTCTAGTCCCCTTCTTCTACAAGGTTTCTGATACCTGTGATTAGGGAAGAGTTACCAGGACAGGGAAGCAGGAGAGAGCCAGAGACTGTGTGCAACCAGAATAGCAGAAGGAGGCTGGCTTTCCCTGGGAGGGAGAGAGAGAGTGTGTGTATGCACACATAAGAGCACACACGTGTGGGAAGGTACATGTGTGGGTGGGTGTGTACATAGCTGTGGAGGACAGCGTGGGGCATGTGAGGGTGTACTGTACTGTGGGTGTTTTGAGAAGATAGAGGGGTGAGCGAGGTGTTACACAGAGGGGCAGCTGCCTGTGTCTAGAAGGCCTCACAGCACCGCACCAAACTCTTAGCCCAAGCTGCCCCTTGGAATGCCCACTCCATTTGAAAAATGGAGTGCATTTTTTAAAATTTGGATTCCTGGGCTTCACCCTTAGAGATTCTGATTCCTTCCCTCTGAGCTGGAGCAAGGGCTCGGATGGCTCTGATGGGAAACTGAAGTCAAGAACCGGGGGCACCATGGTTAAGAACACTGGCGGCAGGAGGCCGGCCAACTCCAAATCTTCAGATCTGCTCCTTCTTGCTATGTGAGCTGGGGCAAGTTAGTTGAAATTTCTAAATTTCAGTACCCATATTAGTAAAATAAGAAAATGGCCACATCTATCTTGTAAAGAGGTTACAAGAAGGAAACCGTGAGTGCTCAATCAGTAGCACCTGTTTTTATTACTGTGCAGACACGGGTATATGTGAGTAAGCATGTGTGGCCATTTGTAGTTGTTTGTGCGTGGAATGGATGTGTGTATAAATGTGTGTATCTGGCCGTCTGAGTAGCTTACAGAGGCACGTTAAGTATGTATGAATGTGCGTGTGAGGTGTGTCCACATACTACAGAGTGTGCGGAGATGAGAGATGTGGAGAGGCGTATATGAGAAATCTGGGTGAGTGTGAGGGTGTGTGGATGGCTGAGTGCAGAGCAGAAAGCTTTTTCAGGAAGGAAGATAGTCTGAAAGCATCAGTGCCCTGGGTCCACCCAGCTACCTCCCATCCCCAGACTGAGTTCCTGGAAGCTGCTATCGTACAAGGTGGTTCCCAGCAGCCCACTGCCTCCTGAGCCCCTCCTTTACCTCCCCTCCCAGCAGTGCCAGCTGGGGCAGGGGTCCTTACCTTCCACCGCCATCATTAACTTGGGATTAAATGGGGCTCTCCAGCTGAGATGGTGCCATAGTCCTCATGGTAAGGCGCTCTGAGGCCCAGGGCAGCAGAGAGGGAGAGTGCAGCAGGGGACACCCACACTGGGCCATTTCTGGGAGCCCTGCCTCCTACCTCATTCTGAGAGCTACTGAACATCTGCCCTTACTCCCAGGGGTCAGGGCCGGGCCTCAGCTGCAGCATGGGGGCCCACCCCTGACCCCGGGAAGAGGACTGACAGCTGCATGTGCCAGGAAAGGAGGCACTAATTGGTTAATGGGGCTCTCTCCCCTAAGCCCCACCAAGGAGGTCCTGAAATCAGCTGCATTGAGAAGTGGGAGCCAATTAGGGGTGGCCTAGCTCCC